AAACACATAGACACACACACACACACATGCGATAAATGCGTGGCCGAAGATGAACCCACAGATCAAGGAACTACCTCACCAACCACCCTCACTTTACTTCTCACGTCTCACGCTCCAACACCATTTTTCATAAACGGTCAATGTCCGTTACACACTTTAGGTAGAATGCAGCCACGTCCTGTGGATGACGACACTGCCCACCCATTAGAAGAAGCCCCTGCCGAGTCTCCACCACCACCGGTGTGTAACGCCAGTGTGGACCTTCGCTGCACTTAAATGTTGGTTCCAACAGGCGCAAACGGAATACACTCTTCCATGATTTACACCACTGTACCTGCTTCACCTTGTCACATCCTTCAGCGGCGTCCTTGCCGCCAAGAAACAATGCACTCACTTTCTCATTTCCGCGCAACAAACCACCAGCATGACCATTGGACCTTGGAAAAACAAACTCTGTATCACCATCATTCCCTTGTAGCCGCGTCCATACACAAACAGAGGAGAGGTCGCAAGACCAAACGTCGTCTAGACTCTCAATATCACCACCCACAAAATGTGCCCCTCCGTAAAGCACACAGACATGAGGCAAAACAAATAAAAGAGAACCAGCGAGACGACGAGGAGACGGAGCAGGCGACTCTACCTTGATAAGTGTCCATACAAGCGTGGTAATGTCTAACATGTACATATCATTGGTCTGTTCTGCGCTGTCTGTCTCACCGCCAAATACAAAAAGATGGGTCACCGTTCCACCCGCCGAGTGTTGGGAGCGCGGCGGGGGACAATTTCCAGTGGTCTGCAGATCACCTACGTGGAGCGTAGGAGATCCCTCCTCAAAATGCAGACCAACTTGCAGGAGACGGTTGCACAGATTCATTTCCGCATCTAGTCCACCAAACATGTACGCCACAGCGGCGTCGTTCCCAACCCGCGTCAAGGATGCACCATCGCACTCAAAGCAGGGTAAATGTTTGGCAACGGTAATCCAGCAAAGGACCGGCTTCTGAAAGACTTTGCTCACCATGACCTTTCCATCGCGTTCCCCTTCGCAATAACCGCCAACGCACATTACCCACTCCTCTCCGGTTGCTGGATCTAACAGACACGTTGCACAGTGTCCTTCGCGTGACCCCAGCGTCCCCGCCTGCTCCTCACATGGAATCCACTCCATGCTCTTTCCTTCACGCTTCACAAGATTTTTATTTATTTTCTTCAATTTTTCATTTGCGTGGAAGGTGAAAGTGAGAATAAGAGTACATCCATTCATATGCTGCATTGAAATACACAAACATAAACACAAACGTAGCTGAAAGAACAATTTAACATGACATCCGTATAATTCCCACCACTATCCTGTCCTCCCATCCTCTCCATTCATCCCAGGTAGGGAATAATATCACCTTCACCCTTCAGAAACCCACCCTCTCTATCTCTCTCTCTTTTACATACACACGGATAGCACCCCCCCACACACACAAAAATTGCAAACTTCTATCTTTTATTCGGCAATTCCAAATACTCACTTTCGAGCATATTTAAAGTGTCACGAAGATCCGCAGCAGCCACCTCTCCCACGGTTTCATGAGACTCGTACAGAAGTTTCACTGCGGTGCAACTCCACTCATGCGTGCATGTAGTAATCCGAGGCTGGTTTTTCCTTATTGTTACAGAGAAAGGCAACAGCGCTTCCGCTGCTGAATACTGTTTATTCGTCTCAGACAAGGACAACGCCTGGGGTCCGCGGTGAACCTGCGCCACAGACTGAGATGGATTAGCTGCCATCAATTTTCATTCTACCAACTCCCCCTTCATCTTGTTGGTGCTGTTGTTGGGGCCAAGCTTTCTCCACGGCTCTTGGCAGTGCCATGAGACGGAAAAAAAGGAAAAGCTCGTCCACCACAGACGCAGGTGTGTGGTGGACCTGTAAAGTGCCCCCGCACCACTTTGGGAGACGATTTCGAAAGGCCTCCTGCTCAAACCTGTCATCCAGCAGCACTATCGCACCAAAGTCACAACGATTGCGAAGACAACGCCCCAGCGCCTGGTTCACTGCACGTATGGCATCAACAGTGTACCACTCCTCACCACTGTACCGCCGCTGAGCCGCAACAGTCCACGACTTGAGTGGTCGAAAGGGGATGCCCACACAGATAACAAGTCGGGTCATGTCGTCTGCAAAGTCAATCCCCTCGCTCACCTTCGCGCGATACACAGAGACTAGAACGGCTGTGCTACAACTCACCTCTGCGCGGAATGCATCCAGCATGGAAGGAAATTCCATTGCCTCTTTGGGTTCTGTAAATACCTGCGGTTTCCTTTCAGCTCTGCCATGAAAGTGGGAGGATAGTCTTGACCCCACCACCCGCATGACCCCATAGTTTGGCAAAAAAACAAGCACTCCACCGCGTCTTAGTTGACCAACGAGCGAAACAATGACAGACACCAAACGGTCCATAAAAGAAAAGTCTCTAAAATTTCCGTAGTTACAGTGCAGTCTAGAAGTATCAAACGTATGTGTAAGTGCGGCCAAGCGGTACTGATGTGAGCTCACTATATGCAACCCCTCATAGGTCACCATGTTGAAAAGTGGAATGCCAAGATCCCGACCAAGCTGGTAGAATGGCGTCATTGTCCCAGATGCCAACACCACACGATGAGTAACAGCTAGAAGGTGGTGAAACGCAAGACTACCATCCAAGCAGCGGATACCTATACTCCTCTGCTGCGATGGTCCTCGCTCCGTAGCGCGTTCCTGAACACGTGCATTTAAAACACCGTCGCGAATGCACACTGCAAAGGCCGATGGTTTCTGAAGCATGAAGCGTATCACCAAAATCCACCGCTTCATGATGGACAGGGCAAAAACGGAAAAGAGAAACGGGTTAAAAGTTACCCCCAAAGACATGATAATGCCGTACACCTGACGAAACATGGCTGAAGAATCCATCGTAGTGTTCGGTAAGCCGGTGGAAGCCTTCCCACTATTTATGTCTCCGGTTCGAAACGTGAAGGGTATGTGGTCATGAAGACACTGCTGTATTATAGTAGCAAAAACCTCGCCAGACAATGTCAGACCTCGGTGTCCGTCATCCTCGTCTTCATCCTCGTTGAATCGTCGCTGGGATGTCTTAGAGGAGCTTGCAGCTGCCCACTCCTGCTTCTCCACAAACTTTACAATGACATTGAACACGTCGTAAATGAGGGCAAAGAGCTGTGCCAGTGTCCAGTGTGTCAATTTAAACTCACGAGGATAATTTAGTGTTGCCATTGACACAGACGGATTTATGAGGGGCTCAATTTCACGCACAACAAGGCGCAAGTTATCAAGCGTTACCTGCAGTGAGAGTGCGTCTTGGCAAACCAACGGCACATTGTGTGCCTCATCTATAATAATAATAGAGTGATTCTTTAGTGCAGCCTCCATCTTGCATTCATGGCGAATGAGTGGGTCCAGAAGGTATTGGTACGTGGCGAAGTTGATGTGAGCAAAGAATACAAGATCTCTAGTGGCGTAGTACGGACAGCTCTGAGTCGCCACCCCTTCTGCGACCAAGTCTTCCATATCCCACACCTTCTCCGTACGCCCTTGACAGAGCGGATAGCTGATGGCTCGACTACCAAGATGTCCGTAATTATGAACAGCCTCACACTGACCAAGAGAAACAAGTTTATCGCACACCTCACCCAAGTTATTTCCCTCCACTGGCAATGTCTTGTCTGCTCGTGCCTTCAAAACGGTGCTATTAATGCAGTACCGCTCTCGACTACCCAGAATGTTCATTTTAAGGCGGCAAAGGTTGTGAAGTTTTCGCAATTCACCAACACTTTGACGCACTTGAGAGTGGGTTCGTGTGAGATAGAAAACGGTGCAGGGGGGAGTTTCATGCTGTCGGCGAAGGTTCCATGGTGTTCCATCTAACTCGACACGAAGACGCTTACTGCGCTTCGCACAAAATTGTTTAAAAAACTCATGTGGCACCCCCCACTCTTCTTCACTGTTCACTGCGTTCTCAGTAATGCAGTTCCCATTTCTAGCCAGACTCTCTTCATTCCACGAAGACGTTGGCGGTGAAGGCGCGGACAATTTCCACCGACGTTTTTGCATGTATTGTTCCAGTTCCTGAGAGGTCAGTTTCTCCAGTGTGGCCTGATAACGCAGTACGCTGGACAAAAGGGCCAATGTCTTGCCGCAGCCCGTGGGAACTTCAAGTGCCGCCACAGGAGTGACTGGAGACGACGATTGCAGGCACGTGGTAATTGTCTGCATCATCTCCCTCTGCACAGAATAGGGCTCGAAGGGTAAGTCATACGCTGCGACCGACGGTGTGTGCGCATTCTGAGGCATGTGCAGAGAAATAACGAAGGAAGACAACGTAACTCACCCCCCCC